ATATATATTTATAAGTTATCAGGTACATATTAAATTAAGTACCAAAAATAAATCTTCAAGTATTTTGGTAAGCACCAAATTAAAAAAGTTACATATATAAATTTTTAAATCAAATATAAAATATATTTTATACCCTATCTGTACTCCCCCATTGTTAACCTAACTCTAGTTCAATAAGATAGCCCATATTCATTAAAACTAAGGCCCAATTGGTATAAATTAATAGTTTAGCCCAACAAGAATTAAACCAAACTTATATAGACTAAACTCACAATTTAAATCAGCAAAACCATTATAATATATATGAAATACTAATAAAAATAAAGTGTTATGTGAAAATAAGTTTGCTAAAAGTATTGTGAAACGAAGCTAAAGTAAAAAAATAAAAATAAATAAATATACCAATTATAAGAGTCAAACTTTCAAATCTCAACTTAATAAACCAAAGACCCAAAACAACTAAATCCAAACTGGCCTAACCTCTTTGCTAGGTATAATATCCTTTTGATCAATTATGCTAATTTTGTCTCATATTAGGTGGCAGGTTAGGTACGTTAACAATTTTTCCATGCTCAAAATACTTTAGTCCCTACAATTCACTCTTTGGAAACAAAATTTTCGCTAAATAAAATCTGAAATATCAAAATTTACCTTATGTTGTCTCCGTGGTGGCTAATGACAGAATCCTGGATTTTCCTTTTATTCTAAGCCCAAATAAGTTTTATTCATAATATCTTCATTTATTAACCTAGCACTAACATAGTAAGACAGATAGCCCTTACTATTCAAAACATAGGTCCAACGGGTGTGAATTAATGGACTAAGCCTAGAAACGTGTCTCCAAAGCCCAATTTAAATTAGCAAAACCCATATAAAACTTAGGTCTATCCCTTTTCTTTTTGCTTTCTCTTTTTCCCTTAATTTTTCTAATTGGAAAATAACGTGTGCACACCCAGATCTAACACCCAGGTGTGCACACTCCACATAAAAAAAAATGGAGAACACCCGATCTTTTTTTTTTTTTTTTATGTGGGGGTGCACACCCGGTGTGTGCACCAATCATGGTCCTTTTTGATTTTGTTTTGCAGAGGCTGGAAGTAGCTGAGTTTTTTGGCCTCCGTTCCAGCTTTTGCGTGACATATGCTACAAACGCCAGAGGAACTTCTTTTTTTGGGGTGGTGGTTGCTCAGCTTACTCCTAAGGTTGATTGCCTACTTTAGCCTTTTGATCTTTTCTTAGTTTTCTTTCTTATTTTATGCTTGTGCAGAGAGATTAGACCAGTGATACTAATATCTTTCTAAAAATGTTCAGTGCTTTCTTGCAATATTTGGCACACTTTAGCTGTTCTGGAGTTCTGAGTCCATATAAACACTTTTTCGTATATTCTGATAGTCTCGCCTTTTTTTAAAAGTAAAACAATTGATTTGATCTTCCGAGCTTTGGATTAGGCTGCATGAAAGAAAATATCCTTGCCTTCAACTTTTCCTGAATCTCATGATGTCTTCTATGAAAGAAAAAGCGCATCATCCTTGTGAATAATAAGCTATATAGTAAAAATATACAAAAAAATGTACAAAGTAACCTTATAATCCTAAAATGTAGTTTGTTGTGAGGCACTATTGTTGTGGTTCTAACTTCTGATGGATATTTCGAAATTTAGACAATAGCATTAACTCCTGTCAGGAGAGAAACAGTTGCCAAATTGAAGGTTGCAATCAATGGATTTGGACACATTGGCAGAAACTTCCTTTGGTGCTAGCATGGCCGGAAAGACTCACCCCTTGATGTGGTTGTTGTTAATTACAGCGGTGGTGTCAAAAATGTAAGTAACTGACAGTTTCTTACATTCATCAACTTCTAGTGTGCCATATAACACAGGCTTCACACTTGTTGAAATACGATTCAATGCTTGGAACTTTCAAAGCAGAAGTCAAAATTGTGGATGATACCACCATTAGCGTTGATGGCAAGCCAATCAAGGTTGTCTCTAACAGGGGCCTTCTTAAGCTTCCATGGGCTGATCTTGGCATTGATATAGTCATTGAGGTGGATCCTTGCACTTCCTCCTCATCAATTGCAGTTCTCTAAAGCATAATTTCTTTCACCAGCACAAACACCTTTAGTTTCAGTTTCATAGTAGGAATCTTTTCAACAACTGTACTGGATTACTGAACTGCGCAAAGGGATGGAAATTTAATTAAAGACAAAATTTTAGGAGTCTTTTTAGATGACTGGAGAAATTCATATGCATTCTCTAGGGAACAAGAGTTTTCATGGATGGCCCTGGAGCTGGGAAGCACATTCAAGCTGGTGCTAAGAAAGTTATCATCACTACAAGGTGCACCTTTTGTATACTTTTATATCTATTGTTTTGTTAAAATAAATCAATTTAAATTTTAATTATATATAAAATTATTATAATAATAAAATTTTAAAATATAAATAAATACTTATTGAGTTTAAAAAA